GGTCCTCTGTAATGTGAAGGCCTGACAACTGGGCTGAATTCCGAAGAACGTCACCGACTAACGTCCATTGCTTTCGGTGTTCTTGGACTGAGAGAGAATTCGTTCCTAACAGCCGCACATTTACAAAGATTAGCTGGAGCTTTGTGGTGATACAACGGCATATGAAAAAGTTGGGGTGGGAGGGTATTTCTTGATTCTACAGGACACAGGCTGATTCTGGAATGACCAATGAAGCCTGCATATTACTCAGTCGCCTCTGAATCTGCCAGTGTCCAGTACTGCGCTCCAAGAGACTGATTTTACTGATGAATCAAAAATCATGTTTTATATTTTTATTTTAAAATGTTTGCGGAGCGACATTTTAAAAGTAGGTCTGTTTAGCCCAGGGTTGGATAAATTAATATGGAATTCAGACTGTGCAATCCAGGAGCCAGCAGGATTTTATTAGCAGCCAGCTCCACTGACAACAACTAGAGAACCTGAAAAAACTTAGGAGATGGCTGTCGTTTTTACGGAGCTCCTGGGACTTGTCTAGCTCTGGCTTAGCCGTTTTGTTCTGTTTTAACCTCACAAACTTTAGAACAACACTTATGAGGAATTCAAGTGTATGTTTCAACTGTAATGGATGGTTGCTTTACTTTCACTTTTGGTTGTAGGATAAGATTTTCTAGTTGTGTCTTGCATAGAGAACAGGATTGTCCTGTCCTAATGTATCAGCCTTTTGTGGTGGATTTACATTGTTGCTCTGGAATAAGATGCCCATTAGTGTGACGTTAATGCAGCATGCTTTTTGCGCTGCATTGCCATTTATTCTTGCTGCGCACCACAATGCACAGGAACACGCTACTGTGCATGCAACGTTACAAAAAAATGGTTTGTGTGCCTTTTTTTTTTTTTTTTTTTTTATATTATGCACGCACTTTTAAATAGTGTCCAACAATCTGCCTATCTAGAGGCAGAGCCAGCTGTACTCGCCCCCTCCCCCGTCCAATCCGCCAGTCAGTGCTGGCGGATCGGAGGGGGGAATCCAGCCCCTCCCCCTGTCACGGCAGAGAGCCGTGACAGGATCGAGAGGTGAGCTAACGCCCGTATATGTTTGCTCGCCTCCCGATCTATTGTCACAGGTCGGCTAGAACTATGAGGTGAGTGAAAAGCACTCACCTCATAGTTCTCCTTAACTCTCATTTAAAGCATCCCATTCACCGTAACGTACTGAACAGTAACTTGGACTTGCAGTTTCAGTGTCGTCCCTGTCCTGTCTTTCATGGCTTAGTTATACTATGTCTAACCTGTAACATGTGAATTTCGGTTGCTCACACTTTGAGTAATCCGCTGTTGGTTGGCTTCAATGGACTTAAAGTAATGTTATAAGGTCACAGTCTCTCCACCCCTCCCCCCACACCCTCTTGCTGCTTTTGATGACTTTTTTTTTTTTCCTACGATAACGCCACTAATCCATCGATTTTCGTACACTTCGAAAACTGTTTTCCAGCCTGACCAATCAAGGAAATTTGACCAGTTGTAAGGTAATTGTGATCGTCTGCTTCCCATCAACTGGCAGATTATCGCACGAAAACTCAGTCGTGTTTTGTAATCGAACGATAATCGCAAGGTGTCTGGGCACCTTTTAGGCTGTTAACTCCTGATTTTATATTGTTTCATTAGGGCTGTAACGGAATATGCAACTCATAAGATGTATTTAGGTTTATGTTTATTTTATTTATTTTTTCTTCTTCTTTTTTAGATATGTAAAAAAGGCAAAGGAAGAAGCAAAGAATGGCAACCTCCTGAAGTCAATAGAATATTTTCGAAGGGCAGACAGCATACATCCCAGTGAAAAGATAAAAGGTCGAATAGCAAAGCTTGAAGAGGCTCAACAAGTTAAACTCCAAAATGAGCAAGATGATGAATTTGTGGATGTCATGGGCAGCGGTTTCACGCTTTATAAAGAGCTGTACGATAAACTGTTTGAACACCAGAAAGAAGGTGTAGCCTTTTTATACAGTCTGTATAGAGATGGAAGAAAAGGAGGTATATTGGCAGATGATATGGGCCTTGGAAAGACTATTCAAGTTATTGCTTTCTTATCTGGGATGTTTGATAGTGAATTAGCCCGCACCGTTCTTTTGATTATGCCAACAACACTAATTAGTAACTGGGTAAAGGAGTTTGAAAAGTGGACCCCAGGCATGAGGGTGACTGAATTCCATGGAGTGAGTAAGAAAGAACGGGCCAGAAACCTAGAAAAGATCCAGAGGAAAGGCGGTGTTATCATTACTACATATCAAATGCTGATAAATAACTGGCAACAACTGGCTACCTACAATGAAAGAGAGTTTGTCTGGGATTACATTATTTTAGATGAGGCTCACAAAATTAAGAGCTCCTCAACAAAGACTTCCAAGTCTTGTGCTGCACTGCTTGCTAAAAATCGCGTTCTTCTCACTGGCACGCCCGTCCAAAACAATTTAAGAGAACTGTGGGCTTTGTTTGACTTTGCTTGCCAAGGGACATTGCTTGGGACTGCAAAAACGTTCAAAATGGAGTATGAAAATCCAATAACTAGGGCCAGAGAGAGAGATGCTACTCCAGGCGAAAAAGCTCTTGGTCTAAAAATTTCTGAAAACCTCATGAACATTATCCGACCTTATTTTATGAGAAGAACAAAAAGCGATGTTCAGAACAAAAAAGATTCAAACCAGCACTTAGTCTCTCAGTCAGATATTAAAGTGGCTGAAATGCCTTCTCTTACCCGGAAAAACGACTTAATAATATGGGTGTATCTATCGGCAATTCAGGAAGAGGTCTATAGAAAGTTTCTCTCTCTGGACCAAATTAAGGAATTGCTGATGACTACAAGGTCGCCTCTGGCAGAGCTGACTATTCTAAAAAAATTGTGCGACCACCCGAGACTTTTGTCGTCCAGAGCATGTATTCAGCTTGGACTCGAAGGAGATGAGGTGTCGGAAGAAGAGCTCGGGGCAGTTACCAAGTTTGATCATCTTTCTGATGAATCTCTAATTGAAGAGTCTGGAAAACTTCTTCTTCTTATTGAGCTCCTTCATAAACTCAAGGACGAAGGCCACCGAACTCTTGTCTTCTCCCAGTCGAGAAAAATGCTCGACATGGTTGATCGTATTTTGACAAATAGAGGATTTAAGATTATGCGCATCGATGGTACAGTTTCCCTTTTAGACCGGGAGAAAAGGATCAGCTTGTTTCAAAGACATAGAGAATACTCTGTACTATTGTTAACCACCCAAGTTGGCGGGGTTGGATTAACTTTGACCGCAGCCGACCGTGTTGTGATATTTGACCCAAGCTGGAATCCAGCTACTGATGCTCAGGCTGTCGATAGAGCTTATCGAATAGGACAGCAAGCTAACGTGGTCATTTACAGGCTCATCACATGTGGGACGGTGGAAGAAAAAATATACAGGCGGCAGATCTTTAAAGATTCCTTAATCAGGCAAACGACAGGTGACAAAAAGAATCCGTTCCGCTATTTCTCAAAGCAGGACTTAAAGGAGCTGTTTACTTTAGAAGATACCCGTACATCTACAACCCAGATCCAGCTCCAAAATATGCACTCCTCTCAAAGGAAAACGGACAGCGGTCTAGATGAACACATAGCTTACTTGCATACGTTGCCCATTTTTGGCATTTCGGACCATGACCTCATCTATGCGCATGAAAGTTCCAACCACGAGGATGATGAATGTGAAAATGAGCACGAAGTACATTACATTAAAGAGAGAGTGCAGAAAGCTCACGATCTTGTACAAATGGAATCTCAGATGAATGAGCAACTAATGGAACAGATAAGGAAGGGAACTGAAGGGGCTTGGCTGCGACAGGTGGCTCCTCCAGAAAAACCCAAACCGAGAAGTCTTCCTAGTTCAAAACCAGTAACCTCCCCTGTCATTGTGGATCTGACACAACAAGAAATGGCTGACATCAGCTGTCATATGGACAGTTTGGTAATTGAAGATCCAGAAAATCATTCCCTCGCTTCAATCAAAAGGGAATTTCCGGATCAATTAAATGGTCAAGGAATTCATCTAGTAAGTGATGATTATGGAGAGGAAAACTCGCATTCCCTTTCGTTTAAAAACAAAGGGACAAATGATGTAGACTGTCAGATGGCCAGCTTGATCATTGAAGATTCAGATGGAGAAGAAAACCTGCCTCCGGCTCCATTCAAATGTGAACCCCCAAGTGAGATATGCATTCAAAAAAATAGTTTTATAACTGAAGATGATGCAGAAGAAAAGGACCGCATGCCTTCTGTTTTATATCAAAGCGATTCGCCTACACAGGTAAGCAACATCTTTCCTATAAAGGAAATATCTTGCAAGACACTTTCAGCACTTTATTTCTTTTTAAATAGAAGGGGGTGGGAGGAGAGAGACGCACCATATGTTTATAAAGGGGAGTAACGTGAACAAATGGTGCACTGTTGTGTGTGTGTGCTCCCCCCACTGCCCACTATCTGACAGCGCAGGGCCTCTCCGCAGCTGGGAAGGATCCTGACAATATTGACAGCCGGCTCTACATCTCTAGCGGCAGAGCCAGCTGTGCCCTCCTCGTGTCTGTCCCTCCAGTGAGCGCTGGAAGAACAGAGAAGGGAGGGAGGAACCCTGGTTTGCTATTACGTATTTCTATGTCTGTTCCCTGCTTACTGGACAGAAGTGAGCATGCTGATTCACTGTCAAACGAGGGGGCAAAGTTGACAAAGGGAAGCTAAATTAGGAAGACAAAGTGCTAATTGTCACATTGCCTTAACAAATGAACCTTGTATGGTTCAAAAATGTTGCATTGATATGGAACTTGGAGGATCTGAATTTATGAAGAGAAAGGTGTGCTGTTGGCATACTGTATATCTGCAAAATATGGTGCCATCCATTGGTTGTTTCAGCACCATACATGCAATGTTTAGTACTGGTTTGGTGTACTGTGAGGATATTTCTTAAACAAATCTTTGAAAAGTAAATTGTAAACATGTATTTTCCCAGTATTTTTAGGGGTTTGCTTAGAGTTTTGCTTTAAAAGAGAACTATGGGGTAAGTGTTCTCTTAAGGGTCACGGGAGGACATATACTAGCGTCCTCCCGTGACCCAAAGCCTAGTATATCGCGAGCTACAGCTCGCAGTATACGGAGACCGACGCAGCCGGAATGGTTCCCGACAATGCTGTCGTGATCCACCCAGCTGCGTGAGTGACAGCTAGCTCTGCCTATCTAGAGGCTGAGCCCGTCCCCTCCCCGTCCGTTCCTCCAGTCAGCACTGGAGGATAGGAGGGGGGAATCCCCACAGGGAGCACTGACTGACAGTCAATGCTCTCTGCAGGGAGATGATCGAGAAGTGGGTGAGTGACGGCATGCGTTCGCTCACTTCCCGATCTATTGAGCCGACGTGTGGCAGTTTCATTATCATAGTTCGAGCCGATGTGTGAGGATAAGTGATTTCCACAGAAAACTTGCATACAGCATTGATTTGATATTGCAGCTGCAAAAAGGTCAGTCTGAATTTAGAACGTCTTTGCAGAAGGGTGTGTAATGAGTGCTGTTTTGCGTTCTCAGCTACACACATCTTAAAATTTTAATGTTTTGAATTTAACAGCTAACATGGCATTTATATTGATTTTTTTCCTTTTCTTTTTTTCTGGCAGGATGCCAATAGTGATGTGTCACATGAACATCATAATACTGGAGATGCTGCTTCAAAACTTTCTCTAGTAGGAAAATTCTCTCCATTGGCTTCTCCAGTTTCTTACCCGTTGGAAAGTTTTGCCAGCAAAACAGTGAAATTGGATCAGTTTGGCATGGGACCTGGAAACATGAGTGTGAAAGAGTCCAGCTTGCGATCACAGTTACAATGCGATTTCAATTTAGTACTAGAAGATTCAGCGGATAAAGAAGGGCATGGTGTTAGCATGGGTGAGATGGAAATTGTGATGGAGACCTCGGTGGCCCAAGAGAACGGCCCCATACTTGTGTTAGACGATTCCCTACAGAACATGAGTCAGGAATGCGACAACTTGAGTCATTCTTCAGGTGACGAAATGGAAAAAAGTGACGCTGAAAACATGAGTGAAGCAATAGTGAATTCACTGCCCAGACTTGGAAACAGTCCTGATCTGGGCCAGAGTCCTAAAGATGACATGAATGGTACAAATTCATACCGAGAGGTTCAGGCAAATGGTATGGATACTGAAGATGAGGAAATATTTCACACTGGTCGCCGGAAAGCTGCAAGAAGGATCTGCTCTGAAAGCGAGTCCGAAATCTCTGTGTTCCTTGCTGGTGAAAATGAGAGAATGTATTCACCTTTCAGTAGCCCCTCGGCTAAAGGTTTAAGTGCTTCAACACCTAAGATAGACAAATCTATGTCTGGCAAACTGTTCCCTCAGTCCAGTACACCTTCGAGGCGCAGATCTATTGCTTCTAGGAGGTCCCTTGTTCATGTTGCTGTAGAGGAAGCAATAGATGTAGAAGAAAGTATTGTAGATGTCAATGAAGAAAGCAGTGAGGAGGAGGAGGAGAAGGATGAAGTTGTTAGAGATGAAGCTGTAGAAGCAAAAGAAGAATTTGAAATTACAGAACCTGCAGGAGATACACTACCTGAAGAGAGCAGTGAGGAGGAGGAGGATGACATTCTTAAAGATGAAGCTGAAGAAGCAAAAGAAGAACTTGAAATGACAGAAGAAGAACCTGCAGGAGACACTCTACCTGAAGAGGAGAGTGTACTGACATCAGAAGAATATGAATCCGATAGCTTTGTTGTAAAAACCTCTTCCATTGAAGAAGAATCTGCAGATGAGTCTACTGGTGAGGTGGAGCTACTTACCGATGAACAAGTTGACTGCCTGACTCAAGATGCAGAAGGGATTCACCAAAAGGTCCCATGCATTGAAGACCGTTACGCCACCCTGGTGCAACGTGGCAAACTACTTAAAGATAGCGGCAATGTGAAGGAAGCACTAGACTGTTTTTTAAAAGCACTTGACATTAGATCGGGGGACCCTGAAGTTATGATGATTACTTTGGGTCTGTATAGACAGCTGTCTTAAAATTCTTCAGTAGAAGATACTGTAAAAATGGAAGAACTTTACTCGCTCTGAAATGGTGGAACTAAACTATTCCTTTAAATCCAGTGGCCCAGTGCAATGGCTCAGATCTTTGCAGCTTGTATAAATATCCAGGAGAGAAATGTAAATTTGCTAACAAAGTAACCGAGTGCACCAGATCTTGCCATAAACTTGTTTGTAAAAAATGAAAATAAAACTTTATACCCTGTATATTCAATGGACTTATCACAGGTAAGTGTATGTTCCATCTGGATCCACAGCTTGTAATGACCATTCTACCCAGCACTGGCTACTAGAAAACTGAAAGCAAAGTCTAGTTGATCCCAAACTCAATCCTACAGTGCTTGCAAAGTCTTGCCTGTAACCCATGTGTTTTGGAGTCGTTATCGGTTTTTGCTTTGTTAAAAACACTGCTACATGTTGCAAGTGATGGTGATCGTACGCTCACAGACTCCTACTGCTTGGCAGCTCCAGGAACTCTGCTTTTAGTTCCTCTTAGTGGCCAGGGCGAGTTGGACTGGAGGATCCAGATAGAGCTTACACTTGCCGGTATTGAGCCCAACTCACTTTATAGAATGTAACAGCAACGATTTAATCATTTCTTCCTGAAATCATCTTATAGCGCTATCTAGTGCACTCTGTTACTGAGATGTTTTGTACTAAAGGTTGCAAGTCTTATTCCAGTTTTTATAAACCTGTTGAAAATCATTTGTTTGATTTACAAAGCTTGCTTTATTTTCGGAGCGCAAGTAATAAAATTTGTAAACACTTGCAAAATTTGTGTGAAAGATTTAATTTTTTTTAGGTCATGGTATAGTTATGCAGCTCAAATTTCAGCCACAACCTGCTGAATCAACTGAAATTGGAGCCGTAGATGGCCCAGTGAGCAACACTTGGTTTGAGAAGTCAATTTGAAAATAGTCTGAGCTGGGTGGAAAATTGTCGACTGAACAGTGACTGCATTATTATGCAGACACTCTTCAGGTATTCAGGCAGCGACTGGTGTCTGTGGCTGCCTGAATGATGGCTGGAAGTGCAAGTTCCTTCATCCATGCTGTTTTGAGGTTTCTTTGTTAAGCCTGCTCCACTGTGTATGGCTGGACTTAGAACTAGGGAGTTGGGTTCAACTGGATTTGTTCTATTATGCTAAAGATGTTAAGTTATTCATCCAAGTAGCTCCTTCTGTTTTAATCAATGGCAGAAACATACCTCCCATCTTTTATAGCCATATGGGTAACTTGGCCCTCTTAATCCAACTTTCATGGAATGAGTCGTGACAGATCTTGTCCAAGAAGAGATGAGAGGTATGGAAACAACCCTGTTCTCGTTACATAATCCAGTCACTATGGCGCACAAAGTATAAGACCGATCTCTGTGGTTACCAAAAAGTGGCAGGCACCAGAACAATGACTACAGCTCCATACATTTTCGGGTAGCAGGTTAAAAGCCATACACTTCTGAATGGGTGGGGGCTTTCTGAGGTTGGTTTTGGTTGGAGGGGGAAATAGGCTGACCATTTTAACACCTCTAAGCTGTCATTGTGATTTAAATTTAAACACCCACCAAATGTGGCTGGTTTTGGCATTTGCTGATGGCAACTGAAGCCTTCAGCTGAAGATGGCATAGCCAGGTTGGTGGTATGGCTTTTAACTAGGGATATCGGCCGAAAATTACACTTGTGGCGTAATGCCGAAAGTGCCATTTTTGTGCCGCTACATCGGCGCATCCCTGCTTTCTTTCCTCCCCGCTTGGCGCTGCTCTGTATCCCAGCGGGGAGGAGAGAAAGTGTGACAGCCGGCCGAACACTGCGGGAGGAGAGCGCTCAGCCTCCTACCACACCGCTCAGCCGCCTATCACAGTCCGGCAAAGGTGTGGGGAGAGAGACAGCCCGCGCTGTCACAGGAGGCTGCGCTCTCCTCCCTGCTCCTGTCGCTCAGCCACCTGTGACAGCTGTCCGGGAGAGTGAGTGCAAACACTTAGTGATCGCTGAGTGTTTGTAGATAATTGAGGGCATGGTATGGTTACTATATCCTCAATTATGAATGAATGGGAAGTGATCTAAATCACCTCCTGTTCATTCATGATTGTGGTTATAGTAAACATACTCTGTCATGTTATCAATGACACTCAGTATAGAGGATTCCTGTTCATTGATAACAGGGGCCTCAATCTCTTTTTCTATTTTAAAAGGGAAATATCAGGGGTCTGTTTAGACCCCTAATATTACCCCGAAGCCCCTAAAAGTAAAGTAAAAAAATAGTTAATAAAAAAATGAATAAATAAATATTAAAAAAAGTTTATTAAATACATTTTTGAAAAAATTTTAATAAAAAACATTTTCGGTTTCGGCCTGACAATTTTTTATTTTTTTCTTAAATTTCATTTCGGTTTTGAAATTTCCATTTCGGTGCACCTCCTACTTTTAACAGCAGCAATGCATTTCAGACTGGTCGGCTTTCTGGCCCCAGCCTGTAACTAGGCTGTCATTGAGGGGGGGGGCAGCAGAAGTCTGACAAAGTCGTCTTTGTCCTGTCAACCTTGTTCCCTGTCACCTCATGTGCAAGCAATGCACATGATATATGGCTATTGCTTCCCCTCCCTCTTATTATTGCTGTGCAAGGAATGACAGGCTAATACCAAGTCAAATTCAAGTTATGGCATTATGGGTGGAGTTACATAAGGGTGTACATACTACAAGGTTAATTATTGGAGTTTGTTACAGGCTCCCCAGTGTAGGAAGTAGACTCACTGCCTTCCACAAAGGGTTGCATTTTCAGGGACGGTGGTAATGATGGGTGATTTCAACTACCCTAAAATTGGCTGGTGTATTGGCACTGCTGGATAAGTAAGAGTGGACATTTATACACCTATTACAAGACAATTTTATGGTACGGTTGATGGAAATCCTGACTAGAAATGATGTGCTGCTGGACCTGTTAATCTCAAACAAGGCTTGCAACAACTGGTCATGTAAAAGAAAATCTGGGTAGCAGTGACCATAACATAATTTAATGTAAGTTTTAAACAACGAGAGCAAATTGGACACAAACGCTTAATTTTATTGCACATTTTCCAATTTTGAGAGTTGTACTCCAAGACTGGGATGGGAAGTTGTTTTTAAAGCAGAAGAGAAATGGGTCTGTTTCATGAAGGGGAAACCCTCCCCCAGTTCAGAATCAGTGGTGTCATAGAGAGAGGTGGTGCTTTAAAACTGGGAAGCGTATTCGGTAGAGGGGACAAATTGTTCCCAGTAAAACCACGTCCAGAAAAGGTTTGACCTATTGCATAGGGAGCAACAGTAAGGCGTTCCATATCTCTGATTTTATTCACCCCGGCAAATCATTGTGTAATCGGCGCAGGTTCAGTTTGTTCCAATGCACTTGGGTTGCAAACCAATGCTGCAGTTAACAAATGTCTCCGTAGTGATTATTTATGTTCAGGCAAACGGAATGTGAAATACCACAGTACAAGTGCAGATAGATAGATAGATGGAGAGAGAGAGATGTATATATTTTGAGAAAGACAGTGGACCAATCACATGAACATGTGTTAACCCCTCCGTTGCTGGAAAGACTGCATTCGCGCCGTAATGATTATATAACAAAGCATCACATGTAAGACGTTACCCAGATCAATCAGGATCATCTGGCCCTTTAAGAGTTTTAAACATGCTGCCATGTTGCCTCTGGCCTTGCTGCAAACTACCACATGTGCTCCTGAGTTAGCTCCGCCCCAAACACTATCCAAGTGTGGAGATGGGCGGGATCTCTAGCTCCATGGAAAATACGTCTCGGCCTGCAGCCTGATTGAAGAGAACCCTAGTCTGTACGGCATAAGTGTTGCCTAGCAACCAGGCGAAACATACTATTCTGATACTGAATATCACTCATGTAAAGACATAAAGGGGACTATAATATAGTAGTTCCATATGTAATATGTGAAATATAGGCAAACCTAGGAAAACCCCTAAGCATTCATGGCTAAATTGGACAGATTATACCATACATGTATCAATCATAACAAGTCATATTGTGTCCCGAAAGCTTTGTCAAAAAAACGGAGATGGCAGGGGTAAGAGAAAATAAATAAAAGTTAAATGTACCCAAGCTATGAGGGATCCATGGGCTCCATGTTCATCAAAGCATCATCAGATAAGTACCTTGGACGGTAAGGAAGTTTACTTCATCTAGCAGAAAACATGTGTAAGAGAGATTTGAATGAAGACCTTGAGGTATCACAGTGTCCAATGTGAAAAAAAGTGAGCATTTTCTACAAGCCCCACAATGGGAACAAATACTGCATCAGAGGTTATCTGAGCTGCAATACGGACCATAGTTACATAGTTACATAGTATTTGAGGTTGAATAAAGACATTAGTCCATCAAGTCCAACCTATTAGGATCTCATTCTAGGAGTACCCGTACCCCTGTATATTACGGTCCCTTAAGAAATCGTCCAAAAGTTTCTTGAACAATTCCACATTATTTGCAGTTAGCAAGTTAGTTAGGCAGGAACGGTCTTTCCTGAACCCGTGCTGATTGTCATTAACTATCCCGTTTTCCTGAACAAATTCTACCAGATAATCCTTTATTATGCCCTCTAGCATTTTACAAACTACCGATGTTAGACTGACCGGCCTATAGTTCCCAGGTTGGCACCTTGCCCCCTTTTTGAATATTGGGACTACCGTAGCCCTCCGCCAATCACCGGGGATCCTACCAGTCATTAAGGAGTCCTTAAAAATGAGGATTAATGGTCTAGTTATAACCTGGCTTAATTCCTTAAGTACCTCCTTAATTCCTTAAGACCATGTGATCTATATACTCAAATGCCCCTGCTCTTAATATATGTGGGTAAAACCAAAGGTCAGTTCAAGAGACGGTTCCAAAAACACCATAGTGACAGGATATCAATTAGGAAGGCTACTACGGGTGAAGAATGACAGTACGAAACCAGTTGCCATCCACTTCATTGAACGCAAACACCAAGTGCATGAGCTGAGAGGAAAGGTCATTGACCACATTCTGCCAAACCACAGAGGTGGCAAACCGAGACCTCCAACTGCGCAAAGAGGGTTTCTGGATTTTTACGTTGGATTGCAGAGGCATCTGCAGTCACTTTGGCACCCACCCACCTCTGAGGGTATTATTTGGTCAAGGGTGCGATGAGTACACTGGATGATGGAAAGCGGAGTACAAGCACTCAACAATCAGTTGATCGTTGAGTTTAAA